GAGCTGTTGTGAATGCAAAGAGTAATAGGGATGTCTTGTTTCGTCCTTCTACATGATTCAAAAGGTCAAGGAGAGTGGCAAGTGTCCAAATTAAGACAAATGTGAACAATTGACGAGAGCAAAGGGGTCTATTTTGCTGTTTTTCCCTATCATATCCTCTCATGCAAAAGAAAATCATTCCAACTATCATTGTCATACATTTTCATTGTGTTTAGAATGCAATTACTTTCAGGCCACGTACATGATTCCATCTTGCCAATGAAGGTTTAGACTACTGGGACCTTGTGAGCAATAGATTTTGGCATCAAATTTGACTATTAGTTTTATATTCACAACATAGTAGTAGAATTAGTTTTAGGGTGTTTAATAATCCAATTCAATACTTAAATTTAATAGATTTAAATTTTAATATGTTCATGCGTGTTTAATAATAAAAAATTGAACATCTAAATCAATTAAGTAACATTGAATTTTCTAAGTGATAAGTGACTTATCATTTAATGTGATATACACTTAAATGTATCAAATTTAGTACTTAACAATTAAATAACTTAATGGATTCAAATTTTATTTTATCAAATGTACCTTTAGTCTCTGTGTTTTTTTTTTTTTTAAAGAGGATTAATAGTAATTTTCCACTTACCCATCTTGATAACTTGAAGCCATGTCCTGTCAATTACAGTTGAAGCGTTTTATCAATTAGGCTGAGCTTCGTTGTCATTCTTTGTGTTGTTGAACAAGAAAAGGAGCAATGTTCTTATTCTGACTAACCAAAGAGAAAAGGGGAAAAAAAAGCACATAAAGAAAATCCCACCCTTATCCTGGACCACGTTCCTAGAAACGCAAACGTAGTAATCTGTTGCCAAGAAAAGTATGGGAAATTAAGTGAGGAAACTTGTTTACTTTCTCTTGCTTCTGTGTTTAATTCGTCCACATAATTGTAACATTTTCCAATCCTTTTTAAGTCCTGCAAATTTTGCAAGAATTTGTAGGAAAAAGCTAGTTACTCAAGCAATTATGATACTATTAATGACTAACTTTCTAGTCAAGTAAACATTTAAAGAAAATTCAAAAATTTCCCCTTTGTCTCTATTTCCTGTATTTTGCAATACCACAACCTGTTCAATTGAGAGATTGTTGAATTGGTAGGGCACATGATGTGACGGATCGCTATCCCCTTTCATAACTCACAGTTTTTTGTATGAGTGTTTCGATAAATGGACTCTGCGAAGACACTGCAAAAGCCTTTTAGCCCTATGATGTGACGGATCGCTATCACTTGAACAAAACCTTTTAGCCCTATTCAAAGAATTCTTGAATTGACAGGGCACCAGAATCCTTGAATTTATTAAGTTATTTAATTACTAAGTATTAAATCTAATATATTTGAGTATATATCATATAAGTGATAAGTGAATAACTTATCACTTAATTTTGAAAGCAAGTTTTGTCATAGAAAATTCAGTGTCACTTATTTAATTCAGATGTTCAATTTTTTATTATTAAACGCATCTAAATGTATTAAAATCTGAATCCATTAAATTTAAATGTTGAATTAGATTATCAAACAAAGCCTTATTTTGCTATAAGAAGCTCTCAACTGATAAAAGTCTTGCAACTCAATTTATTAGTCAGTTTTGAAATCTTGTAAGTTAGAACTAAGGGCTGACTGACTGTAGAAACAAGGAAGGATAAATATATAGCTACTGAACTGATGCAAAAATTTTGATCTTTGGAATCAAATTCCAACCACAAGAATATAACATAGGGTGAAATTTTATGCTCCTAACAATTTTCATCCCCTACCTAGTTAAGTTAATCAAATCTGAGTTTAATGTACTAGAATTCGATCCTAGTGCCACCAACCCTCTTTATTTACTAGCCTAGTTCCAGCTTTATTGAGGTTAGGTGAGTTCGTCATTTACATGTTCTTTTTTTTTTTTCCCAAAAAAATGGATCTGATCCCACTTCAGGCCCAACTCTTATTTGAGTTGTTGGATTATTTCTCATTTTTTTGTTACAAGGGTCATTTACATGTTCTTGACATGCAAAAATGCAAAGGTAGTAGGAGGTCTCTTAGTGAAATTAATCCAATCGAGTCTAAACCTTCTCTGCACCAGCCTATATTTTAGTGTAATTGAAGTTAGGTAAATTCGTCATTTATATGTTCTTGACATGCAATTATAGTAGGAAGTCTCCTCCTTATTGGCCACCATTCTACATTAATTAAAGAAGGCAGGTAAATTTATCATGTAACATGACGCTAATAAAAGTATATTGGGGGGATTCCCTCCCTTGCTCAGTTGATCAATCATCTACTACTATTTGAGGAGTTTTCTTTCCTCTCTAAGTCACATCTTCCATTATTTGACCTTTGCTAAATTCATCACAGCTTCCCTTTTCTACGTAGTAAACTCATAATTTACTTTCATAAGAAATAAGATTTTTTCCTTTTCCTCCCGTCCACATTCTACATTCATTCATATGTGAGTAAAACTCATTATGTAGGACAAGGGTACATTTTCCTCTTCCCTCTAAAACACACCCTATATTGATTGAGTTTGGTGGATTCACTCTTTACTCTTTGCTACTACTACTACATTTTTTTTTATTATTATTTTGGCCTCAACATTTACTGCTACTAATCAAACAAACAATATAGGTATTATGATAGTTATTCACACATCATAATTTCAGAATTTCTCCCAGCTTTTTATTTATTTATTTTTTATCCTTCCTACTCCCAACTATTAGGCCAGAATTCAAACCCTGAATCTGACAAACGAACAAAAAATTTAAGCTATTGGTGCAACCCCAACTCTTCCAAACAAAATTCAGAAAAAATCTTGGGGTTGAATCTCCGCATATAAAATTCACATGGGTAGGTCTTGGTATTAAATTGTAGTACTTTACAATAATTTATCCCATAGCACAGTAAAAGGGGTTTTCACTTCCCTTTCTTTTTACACTTGTATATAGTACTCCTACCATACAGTATCAAGAAATGCATCCACCCCTGTAGAAGCTAAATCAAGTCTTTTATTATTTGATAGTTAATTGTTAATTTCTTGTAATGTTTTAGGCGGTGGAAATTGTCTGTCCTAATTAGAATTGGTCTCGGTTGATTGATGTCCAATTCCGAAATTGATTTTGATTCATTAGACCGTGCGGACTAGTCTTTAAGCAAATTTGGAAACTTTAGTGATCTACATATATGTGTTGCTACTCTGCTTCCTTTATAGTTTTCGATATTCCGCTGCAGGTTTTTTGTGAGATTTGTTTATTGTTAGTTTCCTTCTACAACCCCGCCAAGAAAGTACCAAAACTTCTGTTTCTTCTTCCATGATGGCTGCACAATCCAAGACCCCGGCCACTGCTCAGCCACCAACAACCACCAATGTCCGCCCACCTCCACGGTCTAACACCTCCTACCAGCCCCGCCCATTCTTCTCATCACAACTACCACCACCAGCACCACCCACTCACCGCAACCAGCCTCGCAATGCTGAAATAATCCGGCGAGCGGACAGCATTTTCTTCTGCATAAGGCTCATACTTTTAGGCATTGGCTTGATTGTCATCCTTCTCTGCTTAATGATTTCCACCCTGATCTTCCCACGTTCCGGGTCGACTCGGTAACCATCTCCAACTTCAATATTTCCACCACCACCCCTCCCCTTATCTCCGGCTACTTCAACATTGGACTGACCGTTGAAAATCCTAGCAGCAAAACTACCTTCTCGTACAGCTACCTCGAGGCCGGAATCTACCTCGGGTCCAATCAACTCTCGGGGACAACCCTCCCGCCGTTTACTGTGGCAGAGAAGATGAATGCAACCGGGATCAATGCAGAATTCTCCGCGGTTAGGGCTTACACATACTTGGCTGAGACTCAAAATCTGGAACTCTGTTTGAAGGTTCAAATGGAAGTTCATTCCAAAGCTGGTTTTTGGAGAGAAGTGCAATATTTGGAGGCCTCTTGCCCGGGATTATTGGTCAGTGCTGTTAAGACTCAAAAGAATGGATCAAGTTCTGATGTTTGGAGTCTAATTGGAGGAGTTAAAGCCTGCGAGGTTTCTCAAGAAGCCTATCAATCCAAGTCTGTAGAAAGATGAGAAGGCAATTATAAAAAATTTACGAGTAGCTTTAAAGTAAGATGAAAAGGTGAGATGTATTTACGAGTGATGTAAATGATCTTGGTGATGGGCACAAGACACTGAAAGTCTGAATTAGGGGATTATTGATGGGATCATGAATTGATGATGGTTTTGCAGCTGGTAGGATAACTTAATGATACCATGACTGATTGATTCTCTAAGGTTTATGAAGCATTAATACACTGGTTAGTAAAATATAGATGTTAATCCGTTGCCTAATATTTTGATTGATATGGAATTCTTGGTTTACGTACGTGTCTTTCGGAAAACCTTTTGTTACTTTTTTTTTTTTGGGAAAAGATTCGAGTCAGTACCATAATTATTATTGGCTGATTAGTTGATTCACAAATGTAAAGAATAATAGGGATGTTTTCATTTTACGCCATCCAAAAAGCAAGGAGAGTGGCGATTGTTGAATTTAACAGTGCGAGGCGCAAGTCAAGAAGGTGAGAGTTTAGGGGTGCACTTTGCAATTAGTCCTACTCGTATTCTCTTATGGATAAACAAATGGTTCAGACCATTGTTGTACTCAATCCTAATAAAAGTCTTTTGTCCACAATATAGATTTGAAGTATTGGTGGACCTTATAAGCAAGTGATTTTGCCAACAAAAAAGTTTTTGGTCTTTCTGTTACACCATCTGTTTTCAACCTATATAGTAAAAGCGCGAATGGGATTGTTAAGGGAAGAGGTTGTTGTGCTGATGTGGCTGTGTTTTATTGGCTGGACGGTGGTCGTCAATCACGTGGGAGTCGCGTGCTTTCGCCAGGAGAAGAAGTGGAATTTTGGTTGTTGTCCGAGCTTTGGTCGTCCATCTACGTGGAGGCTGGCAATTGGCCGGAGGTGATATGGCACTTGGTTGTCCTCCCTCTTGTGTATTTGTTTGAGGGCTTTTCTTCTTCTTTCCCTAGGTAAGATAAACCAAACGACGTCCTCTCTTCCTTCTTCTTTGTTTCTGTCTTTCAAAACGTAGCAGCATCAATCAATGTCAAGATCTCTTGAAGACCAGTTCCTAGACAAAACTTCATTTTGTTCTCTAGACAAAACTCCATTTTTTCCATGAGACCCACAATTTCTGGCATTTGATTGTACTTGGACGAGATTGCAATCTCGGATGGCTGGCAATTGGCCGGAGGTGATATGGCACTTGGTTGTCCTCCCTCTTGTGTATTTGTTTGAGGGCTTTTCTTCTTCTTTCCCTAGGTAAGATAAACCAAACGACGTCCTCTCTTCCTTCTTCTTTGTTTCTGTCTTTCAAAACGTAGCAGCATCAATCAATGTCAAGATCTCTTGAAGACCAGTTCCTAGACAAAACTTCATTTTGTTCTCTAGACAAAACTCCATTTTTTCCATGAGACCCACAATTTCTGGCATTTGATTGTACTTGGACGAGATTGCAATCTCAATTGGAGGGTCTAGATTTTTTTCTTCTTCTGAGGAGTGGGTGCTTAGGATTTGATAGACGATGGGCTCGAGACAAAAAATGGCTGGCAACCTTCTTCCCCTTCTACCCCCGGTTCTCCCTCTTGTTCTTTTTCATCTTTCTCCATCCTTCGAGTAGTTAAGGCTAATTTTTTCTGTTTTTCTGACATTTTTCCTAATATTTCTGTTTTCTTGGCTAAAAGCAGCCAATTTTTTTCCCATCTCCTTCGTGTCCTTTTGTGAAACAATGAGGAAGGGGAAGGTCAATATTTCATCTCCGCTATCTGATGTGAATTTCTAGAATGCAGATATGTTGCTTTTCTTCCCCATTCTTTCCATGATTAATGTGTCCGTTTCATTGCTATTTTATCATTGCTTTTTTATTTTTAATTAGAAGAAAAACTTTTAATAATTGATGATTAGCTAGCTTTTAGATATTTATTTACTTAGTGTTTTGTTATTCCATTTTTTGTTCTTGTCTTTCTTGGATTGTTCTGGAGCTGGGAGGAAAAATGGCCACCCGTGAGAAACAACTGGTAAGGAAAAACAAAAATTTTGTTGTATCATTCTAATTTAACTTTTTCCCCTCCACTCCCGATTAGGATCTGATGGACGATGTTTTTTTCCCCTTTTTTTGTTCTTTTGGTGTTACTTTTCTGAGTATATTATTAGTTGTTGTTACAGGAAGGAATATGAAGGCTTGAACTTGACGTCTCTAAGAAGTTGTTAAAGCTGGTAATATTTATTTCTGTTCTATTATTTATACTATAAACCATAATCTTTTTCTATAAATATTCTCTCTCACCTAATTTAGCCTATTTTTGTTTATTGAGATTTTTGTCAGAGAAAGGATAAAGGTAAAAGTGATTGGAAGAATGAACAGATTTCTTCCAGTGTTTTGTGTTTTGGGCTTTATTGTGTTTGTCAAAGTAAATTAGATATGAGTATCTTTTTCTTCTCTATCTTCTTCTTTTTCCTTGGTTGGTGAACATGATGAATCTATTATTTAAAGTACCTGGTATTCTTGGTTATGTCAAGATTTGGGAAGTTGTATGATGAAATCTTTACTTCATAGTTGATTTTTCTTTGTGGTCTAAACGTGCAAAGTGAAATCATTATTATGACTAAATTCCTTGAAGATGTTTTCACCAGTTCATGATTCATGAGATGCGTAGTTATATAAATTAGGTAAATGAAGTTTCAAAAGCAAAATCCATGTAATCTACTATGAAGATACCATCTTTCCTCTTTTAAATTATTAAAGAAACTTGGCTTGATCTTTGGTTGGAAAAAATATGTTCAGAAAATAGCATCCCTGTGCTTCACAGTATTGACCTTTGATGTTGGACCCAATTTTGCATTTTTAGAAAAAAAAAAGAAAAATTGGAAAATAATGCATAGAAACTTCTCTAGAATTTGCTTCCATATATATATATATATATATATATATATATATATATATACAGTATTTTGTTCCCTTTGGGGAAATTTCATCAGTGACATTATTTTTATTGTTTGATTTTTGTTGGTGAGACTTGCTTTTATAATCTTTCAGTAGATTTCTTCTCTTATTTCTGTTATCACCATTTTTTCTTTATGAATTCTTCTTACTTCTAAGCAACTTTAAAGGTTCTTTTCTTTGTATGAATATGTTATTATTGGGGTACATCTAATCCTGATTCTATTTTTGTAGCAGGAAATGACCATACTTCGGGTTTTGTTACCGATGGACCTGCTCAATTGCATGGTGCTGCCTAGACAAGTGCCTCACCCTGCTCTTCAGCATCATTAATATTTTCGCCAACTCTAGGCGTGCCTTCAAATGCTGAATGGAATGGGTATCAGGTAGTTTGTTTCTGACATCACTTCTCAATTTTACACTGCATTTGTCTGCATGATGGCATTTATTGTAAGATTCATGTGTTGAATGTCCATCTGATGTTCAAATTGTGGCTGTATCTGACAGATGGTTTGATCTTGGCTTGCTGAACACCATATATGAATTTCATCTGATACACTAGATGTCACTGATGCATTTGAAAATCTGTCACTGTTTCCAATTTGTGCTTGTCAATGCGTAAGGTTTAACATATGGGGTAATAGTGTAGTGAACAAGTGAATTCTTAGTTATAATTTAGATGAAGAAACTAATTCTTATCTTTTTGTGCCACAGCAGACTATTTTTTTACTCACCTTTATTGTGATGAAAATCTTCAGACTCTGTTTTTTTTTTCATGACTTTGAAGTTAATTGAAGTTAACAATGATTGTTGTTCTCTGTATCTCTTTTGAAAATCGACAATAGGCTCTCATTCCCATACTGCATACAAAGTCGTCATATGTGAGAAATAGTGCTTTTAAAGTGGATTTACTCCTGATGTATCATGATCACTTTTAAAAAATGTTCCCATGGCATGAAAAGAGAAATCCATCCCTAAATAAAAGGGGTTTGCAGAAGCATTTCAAACAATTAGAGATCAATGTGGAGAGAGGTAAGAGGAAATTATTGAGCTCAATTTGCAGAGAGGAAATAGATCTCGATTTTTGTTTGAGACACTATGAAACCTCAAATTATGTACATGCAACCAACCATAGATAAATAAATACATAAAACAGAGAGAGGAAACAATCAATAGATTCATGACTTTAATTATGCATGTGAAATTAGTTGGTAAAGTGAAGGTGTTAATTATTGCATGATGTATTTCCAGTGTAAATATAATCTGCTAGATGCTTGTTACTGCCTATGAAGCTCTAAAGTTTTTACATTTAGTTTTACCTATCTGGTACCATTATTCTTGTGTAGTAAATAACAGATGTATTAGCATTTTTTTTCTTGAAAGTTGGTGTTCTTGACTCACTGAAACTTCTGTAATGGTCTTCTTTGCACGATTGTTTCCTTTCCATTGATTAAGGCTAGCATTTGCAATGACCAACCCAGTATCTGAGATCAATTTCTATGCACTGCACCAGCAACAAATGCCAGTTGATGAATATCCTCAGCGACCTGGTCAACCTGATTGCAGTTCTTGAAAACTGGAGACTATAAATACAAAGCTAATTGTAGATTTAACCATCCTAAGCTTCAAAGTTCCAAGTCAACGTCATGTGCTCTTAGCAACAAGAGTTTGCCTCTGAGACCTGTAAGTCGTAGGCCAAACAAAATAATGATACAGCTTACAAATTCTCCCTTAATAATGTGAGGTCTAAATTATATTCTTTTAAATTAAACATAAACAAGAGGATTTATTGCTTACTTCCTGTAATAATGTCCGCACTTGATTTTTTTTTTTTAAGGCTAATGTTCCTCTAGCGACTAGCATTATATGGAGGGTTGTTTTAACTTCCTTTCAAGGATTTCTCTTGAAATGGATTATGTTTGGAATAGATGTGTTTCCATCTGTTTATATGAATATGTTATTATTAAGGTATATCCTGTAGTGGTTTTTTCCTCACAAAAAAAAGCATGTTATGTCTTTGTGTTTGTTTCCCTAAAAATTTTTCTAAACTTCTCAATCACTATAAGGAATGGAAGTCATGGTTTTCTTTTTCTTGTCTTTTTTTATCTCTCTCTTATAAAGATTTAGCTGACTTTTTCAATATATATTTTTTAGTAGATTATGTTGGACTTGGAGAGATGGCTGTGTTTTTCATTTTCTTTCTTCAAGTGGTTTTCATTAATGGTCACATGTACTTGTGTTTTCTTTTTATGGGAATAGAACATATATCAAAAGTTTTTTTTTTTAGTGTAAGCGGGAGGACTCGAACCCGAAACCACTTGCTTACACTCCCTCCCCTCGTACCACCCAACCCAACCCTCCCCCCACATATATCAAAAGTTTAATTAGGCAAGTTGTTGCAAAAGACTCAACAATCCATGTAAACCCTGTGAATATTGAATAAGAGCAACCTTGAAATATGATTGAAGACCAATTTTTTAGATGAATATTACCTTTATTGTTTTTCTTTACACTTGTGAATATTGCCTTCACTATTTTTCTTTACACCTGAAAATTTTATAGATTCTTGATGCTGGAGTAATATGAACTTTATTGGGAATAAAAGCCGAATTACATGCCCTTATTTGGAGTTGCATGTATTTTGGCTTTTGGGTTGGAGTATGTCATTAGAATATAAATACATCCTCTTTGAAGAAGTTTCTGTTTCATTTTTACGTTTTAGGATCTTCCTGGCCTATTTGATAGCATGACCATTTTATTTCCTTTTTGACCTTATCTTCCATTGGCATTTTGTGTAAATTGCACAGCTTCATGATCAAGTTGTAGAAAAGTTCAATTGCATACCATCTCCAGGGATCTAGCACATCTAATACTTTCACTTTGGTAAGAACTCAAGTTACCAAGCAAGACACTTTAGCTTACCTGTAAGAATCTTTTCATTTCTGGACTTTGACAACTACTGTACCCAAAAAAAAGTACCCAAAAGAAAAAGAAAAAAGTTTCTTGCTTATGAAATGGGTTGAAAAATAGAAGTGGTAACAGATTTTGTACGAGACTATTAGTAACCAAAAGTGCAGATGTTTGTAGAATTTGTCCTGTCATTATTGGCATCATTCAAGTCTCTTGATTTATTTTTAACTTGGTTATATAGCAGTAAACTAATTTCAATGGATTATATCTTACTTTCTTTCTTGTTATAATACATGGCAGGTTCTCAACAATTTCTTTCAAAAGTTGCTCATTCACTTCTAGAACGAGTACGAATGACAAAAAGTTGTTATTTTTTGTTAAGTTAAAATATGTATTTATCAAAATCATGGAAGGTCAAGTTCATGTTTCGAGATTCTGCGAGACTAATTTTAGTTTTTTATCTATTTATTACGAATTCCTTGATTGTGGACAAGTGTCAAAGTTTTGTTAGACAAATTGTAAATGCAACTTTTTATAGTTTAAAATCTTTTACAATTGCAATAATATATCTTTCCATAGAAAATTTATCTTTGGAGGGCAATAATTAGGTAAGATTAAAATGTCACACCGTGCATTTTTTTTTTATCCTTGGTTGTGTTACAGGCATTTTGTAAAGAGGGCATAACTGGGCATGTAAATTTTAGAACTGTCCACCGCGCATTTGCGCGGTGATCCCCTCCTAGTTGCACAAAAAATGGGGCCGGGTCGGTTACTTTTACCAACCAATGAAAATAAAAGGGGAACAGAAAGAAATAAATTCCCACCCTTCACGTCATGTTCGTAGAAGCCCCTGCATGGTAACTTGTTGCCAAGAAAAGTATAAGAAAGTGAGGGAAACCTGTCAACACAAATTGTAAAATTTTTCCATCCTTTTTCTTTTCCTTCAAATTTTGCAAGACTTCGCAGGAATGTGCAAGGAAATTTTGATGCTTGTATTGACTAACTTTCTAGTCACATAAACATTTAAAGAAAAATGAGTTTTGTTTTCCTTTACCTCAGCTTCTATATTTTGCTTTACCACAAACCGTCCAATCCAGAGAATCCTAGGATTGAATTGATAGGGCACATGATATAGAGGATCAGTATCACTTAAACAAAGAAATTTACATCAATTCAACTGATAGGGCACCGGAATGGGGAGATAAACTTTCCAATCTTGGATCAACATAAGCCCTATTTACTTCTATGAGACCCTATGAAGTAATACAAGGGCCAGTTTGCATTGCAAAAAAAAAAAAAAAATCCATGATATCAACTAGCTAATAGGTATATATTATTGCTAAAGATTTAATGCTACTTATTTTATTACTCATTTTTGAAATCTTGTAAATTAAAATTAGGGCATGATTAAGTCTATAACAAGGTGGCATGGTACCTACTCTATCGATGCTTACAATTTGATTTTGAAACCCAATTCAAACCACAAGAATATCACATAGGAGCAACTTTTTGAGTTCCTAATAATTTTTTGAGCCCTACCTTGTGGAATTAATGGAATTGAGTTAAACCTTCTTTATACTAGCCTGCATTTTAGAGTGATTGAGGTTAGGTAAATTCGTGATTTTCATGTTCTTGACATGCAATGATAGTTGGAGGTCTCCTCCTCAATGGCCACCATTCGACGTTAGTTAAAGAAGAAAGGTAAATTCATCATTTATGTAACATGAAACTAACACGGGTATATTGGGGGGATTCCCTCCCTTGAACTAAGTGTAGACTAATCATCTAGTACTGTTTAAGGAGTTTTCTCTCGCCAACTCAAATCTTCCATCAATGCTTTCCCTTTACTACGAGTAAAGTCATTATTGTGCCAGTTGTGTCCTTACATAGGAGTTTTCTCTTTCTCTATAGCCCACGTCCTACATTCATCGTTGTCTAAGCATAGTCATTATAATACAGTACACAAAGAATACGAATTTTCTCTTCCCTTTTAATCCACATCTTATATTCAATGATTTTATTTTATCAGACGTGAGCATTTTATATCTACACCTACACCTGTTGATTTTGAGAGGCTAGAAAATCTCCTTTAATCCACATTCTATATTTTTGAGAAGTCAAAAAATCCCTTTTAATCCACATTCTATATTTATTGATTTTTTTTTGTCAGACGTCAACACTTTATATCTACATCCACACCTGTTCGATTTGAGAAGACAGAAAATCTTGGCAAGCAAAGTAATTATAATGTAGCACACAAGAGTACAAATTTGCTTTTCCCTTTAATCCACATCCTATATTCATTAATTTTTTTTGTCTAACGCTAACATTTTATATCTACACCTACACTTACTGAATTTAAAAATCAGAAAATTCTAGTATTTCATACTGATAAAGAGATTTGATCTCTCGACCAACATCCCAAGAGGGGCCACCGGACCATTGGCATGGTGGTTCCTATATTTGATTGATCGAGTTAGGTGGATTCACTCCTTGCTGCTAAGTTGACACATCCCATAGCATAAAGATTGTGGCTTCAACAATTACTACTACTACTACTCTTTATTTGGTCTAAAATACTATTCTGCTATTTCTTTGATTTTCAAATTACTACTGCTATTTTTTTGTCAGAATTACTACAACAACTACTAATTATACTAATGTAAGCATTATGAGACAAACCATATTTGCAAAATTTCGCTTATCTTACCACCTTTACCGGACAAAATTAAAAATACTCTACAATTATCCCAAAGCACAGTAATAAGAGTTTCTGTTCCCGTATCTTTTGCACCCTCATATAGTAATACTAGAGGTATCTCGGTTGTGCAAAACACAACCTGAGCATCTTAGTAGTTTAGTTGAATACATAGCTCCAAATTTTTTTGGTATATAATAAACAGAAATACAAGAAAAAAATTGAGCATCAGAACAATTAAAATTTATCGTGAAGAGAAATTCCATATATGAAGTTAACTCTTCTAAATCAAGAGGGCAACAAGCAAAGGATCTATCAAATCCATTACCAATCTTGAGATTAATGAAGGCAATGAAACAAGTGCACGATTGAGTACAATTGGGAAGGAAGAAAGCTAAAATACCTGTGCAACTCTGAGAAATGATTTATATAGGAATAGAAAAAGAAACTTTAATCGATTACGTAAAAGAGCCGTTTAAATGTAAGAATTGGTTAGCTACTAACCAAACATAATTAATCAATATTTAAGGGACTGGAGGAATAGTTTAAATGTAAGAGTTGGTTAGCCACTAACTAAACATAATTAATCAATATCCAAGGGTTAAAAATTTTCCATTAATTTATAAAACTTGATCCTATGATCATAAATTTGACAATATATAAAAACAGTAAAAATCCACGCAGTTAAGCAAAATGACTTGTAGTGAAAATCTCCTGTCTTAATCGATATAGTAGATGTTCTGTCTTGACCTATCAAATTAAGAGTGGAAAAATAAAAAATAAAAAAAATCATAATTAACTTCTTTAAAAAAGAGTCACGTCACATGTCAAAAAATGGAAGTACTATAGTAAAATCCCAAATCTTCTTGTGTATAATATATAAGTAGATACCAAGAAATTCATCCACCTTCTTATTGCATAACAGGTAGATATCAAGAATTTCATCCACCCCACCAAGAAACTGAATTACTGAAGCATTTGCTTCTTCTTCCATGGCCGATCAATCCAAGACCTCAGCCACTGTTCATCCACCACCAACCACCAATGTCCGTCCACCGCTGCCGTCAAACACCTCCTGTCCCTACTCCTCCATACGACTACCACCACCGGCACCACCCACACACCACAAACACCCTCACAATACTGCAACAATCCGGCAAGAAAACTGCACCTTCCACTGCCTATTTTTCACACCTTTCGCCATTGGCTCCGTCATCTTCTTCCTACTCTTCTTCCTACCCATCATTACCTTAATGATGCTCGACCCGGAACTTCCCAAGTTCCGAGTCGACTCCTTAACCGTCTCAAACTTCAATATCTCCCCCACCACACCTCCCCTTCTTTCCGGCCACTTCACCGTAATCATCAGCGCCCGTAACCCTAACAGCAAACTTACTTTCTCCTATAACCACCTCGACGCCGGAATTTATCTCGGGAGCAATCAACTCTCGGGAACTACCCTCCCGCCATTTGCTCTCTCAAAGAAGAACGAAACCTCGCTTACAGCAAATTTTGCCGCTGTTGGGGCTTACGTGGACCGGGCTGAGAGTGAAAATCTGGTATTCAACTTGAAGATTCAAATGAAAGTTCGCTATAAAGCTGGTTTTTGGAGAAGAGTGACATGGTTGGAGGCCTTCTGCCCGGGATTGTCTGTCAGGACTAATACTGCAAAGAGTGGTTCAAGTTCTGATGTTTGGAGTCTGATTGGGGGAGCTAGATCCTGTGAGGTTTGTTAAGAAGCCCATTAATCCAAGTCTAAGGGAATTACAGAATGATTAGTGAGATTTTAAAAAGTTATTAGTAGCTTTCCCAACATATAGATGACTGATGTAAATAATTTAGTGATGGGCTCATGACAGTGAATCAGGGGATTATAGATGTGATCATGAATTAATGATTATGTTTAGTTTTTAGTAAGACTTGTGATACACATGACTTATTAACCTTTGTTAGTAATATACAGATGCTAATCTGGTGGTTAATATTTTGATTGATGCAGAGTTCTTGAATTATTTTATAATGTTTTTGGTTAATATTTTATCATTCCTCACACATATTTGTTTCATTTAGCAGTCTATATAACTAGTCGTGCTACTGATCTATGCAACGGGAACTGTTGTTCCTACTCTCATATTCATTAAAAAGCATTTCCCTTGAGTTTTTCGTGCATGTGAAGTGAAAAGATAAGTGGTTTCGGGTTCAAATTTGACTGTTACTTGCCTTTTGATTTTTAATCATAATTATTAGGGTTGAAGGACGAATCAAATTACTCGATACTCGAATTAAACTCGACTCGTTAAGAGCTCGTTTGAATTTGATTCGCCAGTTAATCAAATTAAATTTGAACAATAATTTGTATAAACTTTTAAGATCGGTTGGAACTCTATTGGATTAGCATATTAGTAAAGTTCACATGTAAAAAGTGTCAACTACTTGAAGTAGACTCGAGTTCAGCTCAATAAAAATTCATTCAATTTCAACTCGAGAAGTAAACAAATCAAATTTGAATAAAATTTCAAATTCGTCAGAATAATCAAACAAGTTTAATCACTAGGGCGTTTGCCTTATTTAAACTCGTTTACACGCTTAATCATGACAGGATTACTTGTCTTTGCATGTGCGTTGTTGCACAATAATGGGGGAGTTAAACGTATGTATTTAGCAAATTACACCCTTACCCTCAATGTCATTCCTTGAAACCTCTAAAATACGTCTGTCTTGTTGCCAAAAAAGTACAGAAAGGCTTGGAAGTTTTGTTTACTTCTTCTTGCTTATGTGGTTAGTTTGTCAACAAACCATCCCATAATTTTTGTGTCCTGCACAATTTGCAGGACATTTTTAGGAATGAGCTAGTTACACAAGAAATTTTGTGTGGGCCCAAAGCAATTTGTTTGGATTGTCATTTTTTTTTCAAAAAAATTTTATTATATCATTGGGAATTGGGTTGATATCAAAATTTTTTTCTCCCGTGTTTACTAAGGCATTAGTGGTTGCTAATCCTGCTGATATCTTTTTCTACCTTGGCTAATCTAGTCTACCCCTCCTTGGAAAAAAAAACCTATTGGTATAACACTTGGTCCGACAAAGGTATTCCAACCCCTTCTTATTTCTTAGTGGAGGAACTTGAAGTCTCGATTTTGCAGTCATGCCATGGTCAACTCCTACCTCTGCGCATTTCCCACCTCTCCCTTTATAATTGCCGCGACAATAGGTTTCTGCAAGGATTGTACCTTATTAATTAGTCTTTCCCCCGGTTAACTATTTTATTTTGTTTTTTCTTTGGGTATATTAGAGGGGATTAATTCTTCTTTGCACTCCCGAGTCTATACCATTTTTTCACTTTGCACTACAAACTTTAATTTTGGATAATTTGCATAATAAATTATCAATTTTAGACACTTTGTACCGTAAAATCTTAAATTTGTCCCATTTAAATCCAATCAATGATAGCAGAAGTAAAATTAACAAGATGGTGGACTATGTAAATTAATGACAACATATCATTTCATTCTATCTGCGATCCCTTGATTTCTTTTGATCATTTTCAACATAAATTACTAATATTGTTAGCAAAATTAATAAGGAAAAAGATAGTGTAAATTAATAGCAATGTATTGTTTTGTTCTAGTTACAATATTTTGGTTCATTTTCACTACTTTTAGCACATTGTCATCAATTTGTAAGGTTGTCTATGCTGTTAATTTTGCTAAAATTATCATTGATTTGATTTAAATAGAATAAACTTGATAATTTAGGGCGTAAAGTCCCTAAAATTGAGAGTTTGAAGTGTAAAGTATCCAAAATTGGAGTTTAGGTTGCAAAGTGTGAAAGTAGCACAAGTTTCAGGGTGCAAAGTGTAATTAGTTCATATTAGAGGACTGCTCCATGTTCTAAAATTTTCTAAAACAAAAACAAAATTGATATATGAAGACCCTTTAGCCTAAACTCTAAATCTTGGTCTTTAGTGTACAATGGAAAACCAAAAAAAGTCTTGGTCTTTTGCGTACAATTCATTTATTGACACAAAAGCGATGATTTCCACAAAGTGACAAATGAAAATGATTTTACTGATTCTCAAAGTCTTGTTTGGTCTTTAGTGTACAATCGGGAGGAAAAAAAAAAAGAAAAAAGTCTTGGCCTTTTGCGTACAATGAATTTATCGGAGACAGACTAGTAAGACATTGACAAATGAAAATGATTGTACGTACTGATTCTCAAAGCTATTGTTCTTAAGATGATTTCCACAAAGTGATGATTAGGAATTTTTTTTTTTTTAAATACCACTTTAGAAAACTTATCAATAGGTTGATGTCAAAAAGTTTTTCTCCCGAATTTACTAAGGCATTAGGTGTTGACTGCGTAGTTGTCAGTGGAGGAAATGAATGATCCACTAGCATACCAATCTCTCTTAGTCTTGACTTCTATAATGTGGCAAATTGAGAAAAAATTAGATGGAAATGGAACTGAAATGCAATACTAAAGAAGTTGCACCTGCATTGCACATGTTCGTCATAATTAAACAAAGGGTTAAATGCAGAAAACACCCACGAACTTTCATGAAAGTTATACAAAACACCCAGAAATATGTTTATAGGCATTTTGCACCCTGAAAAAACGACCGTTCACACATTTCACGGTAAAACAAAACGCGTGGAAGTCACTTTCTGTCCGTTGAATTTGCTGACAGAATTGCCCCTTTCCAGTGAATATAAATGAGAACAACCTACCATCACTTCTCATTTTCCCTACTTATTTCCTCTTCTTCACAGATACACAATTTCTACTCATATGGAACACAGTCCAGGAAGCTGCAGCTCAAGCAATGCACACCATGCAACAAACTTCAACTCAAAATGCAGGTGTGGAAAAAAGCACCCGTACGCACTTCATGGACCATTCAAAATCCAGGAAGAAAATTCATAGGATGTTCCAATTATTCGGTAAGTCCAAATCTCACATACAATTTCAGTGAACCAAAGGCAATAACAGCCACTTATTTTGGAATTTTGTTTTAAACAGAATAGTAATGCATGTGGGTATTTTAAATGGGTGGAACCTGAAACATGCAAAAAAGGAATGGAAATTGGGGAATATTTTCATGGCCGAATGGAAGAAATGTGAGCAAGGATTAACCATCCGCAGCAACAGAATGAGCAATTACAAAGAGCATCTGAAAGAGTGAATGATGCAAGAGTTGCTACTATGCTTCAAAATGAACAGCTAGTGACCAAATGTGAAGAATTCAAAACTATAATCCGGTCATTGCAAGAAAAAATGGCCAAGTATAAAGGGGTTCTTAAAGAAAGGAGGAGGACTGACTCCAAAGGGAGGAAGCTAATATATGTAATTGTAGTGGTGCTTGTTGTAGTAGTAATTGCTATAATGAAAGAAAAGAAAAAGGAACAAATGTATTTTCTGCCATGAACACCATGTAATATGAATCATTCAAGTTAGTATAAAATTATGGTTTGTCATATAAGTTGGTTATATGAGAGAGAAAAAAAAAGCAATGTGGAAAACATAATCAGCAAAACAATGGAAACAACAAAGGTAGTAACTTCATAAACTAGTCCATAGTTCATTGCATAAACTACCAGGAAGATCATCTTCCACTTTACTAATATAAAGTATGAAAATAGCATATCCTAGTGTTCAACCAAACAAAAAAAGACCATATCTGTTTTCTAAACCCTTCAAAAGCATGTTTCCATTACAAAAGAGGAACATATCCTTTACGGGCTATATTATCATCCTAACAGTTAGATGAACCTTCATTAGGTGGTATCCGAGAGTCTTGATGCACACGAGTCCTAGTGCTGGAAGATTGACTAGAGAACAATACATCACCAAATCTTGTTGAATGCCTTTGGATTTGGTACAAATAAAACAAGTTATTGGTGATGTATTATCTTGCCTATGAATTGTATATGAATTGCAGAACAATATATACCTGAGTAGTGGGTATACTACCCTTATTAGTATTGGTATTAGTGCTCAATTGTGAGCCTCCGGTCAGGGGGTCATTTGTCCACTAGTTACACATGACATTAGTTAGTTTAAATGCACCTGAAATTAAGCAAAACTGTGTAAAAATACAGCTGAAATACTTACCATTTGAACTGTCCGGGTTTCAGAAGTGTTGTGAGATTGCATGGCCATCCTTGCCACCTGTCATTAATGAGAAAGACATTAATACAAGTTAAAAATGAACAAGTTTGGAAATATATACATAATGCCTAAGATAATATTGAATCACCATATCAGATGGGATGAAATTTCTGCCATCAGACATGCCAATACCATTCCAATTTCCAAATCCAGAAAGCGGTGGAGGACATCCTGAAAATTCACCTCTCCCTCTTTTCCCTCTGGCCCCACCTCTAATTGAGGATTCCACTCCCCTACCATTACCTCTTCCCCTACCATTACCTCTGCCCTTTCTATTACCCCTTCCATTGCCACCAGTCATATTGACATTAGCATTCTGTGTGTCCATATTAACCGTTCTCGGTCTTTCACCAATATTTTTTGGAGGGGCTGTACCTCCTCCCCTTCTTGTTTGAGTGGCACTTTCATCCTACAAAAGTAACTAAATTAGTAAATAAACTAAGGAAGGAAATTATTAAACACAATTTAAGGCATCATACACAACCTGTCATGGTTGCTTGCATGTCTTCTTATTATGACCAGGCATATTACAGTTGCTGCAGTGGGTTATAGTACCCTTTCTGGTTACCACATCATTATTCACAAGCTCATCTGCACTTTTTCTTCGTAGCTTTCTTGGTCTGCCAGGTCTTCTCCTTAGTTTTGGTGGTTGAATAGACAGGCCACTTGTTTGAACCCATAGACCCTCTTCTGGAATAGGAACTACCATACCCTTATAAGCTCTACAATAGTACTCTATACTATAATATGGATGGATAAGGTCTGCTGGTTCTTGATCAGAATCTATAATTGCTGCACATGCATGCACACAAGGAACACCAGTTATATCCCATTCTCTACAAGTACAAGTTCTTGAATTCAGGTTAACAACTTTGTGCCCTGCATAGCCTGTGATCTCTCATATGCCTTGACTAGCTTGAACAGCTTCATATTCCATTGCTCGTGCCTTAATTTTCTCCACTTTATCATGGATTCTTGGACAAATTTTTCCTTTGACCTTAGATATGAACTCTCTCTTTTCTTGGTATCTACACATAATCAGTCTTCTAATTGCTTCAAACATAGATAAAATTGGCTCCTCCCTTGCCTCTTTAATATATTGGTTGAAGGATTCACTAACGTTGTTACTCAAAAGATCACACTTTGATCTTGGATTGAACATGCACCTTGACCAAAGATTAGCTGGAATAGCACTCAACCAGTCATAAGCTTCCCTATTAGCAACCTGGAGTTCTCTCATCTTTTGTGACCATCCATCTGTCTCATATGCTCGTGCAGCAGCCCACATGATATCCCTAAGTGCCTTGTCCTTAAACCTCAGTTTGAAATTGGCATACATATGCCTAACACAGAACCTATGTTCCACCCCAGGAAACAGCACATCAAATGTCTCAACCAGACCCTACAAAATAGCAACATCATCAATCAGATTTGGTTTAATTATAGCAGTAATAAACTCATATATGAATGTTGGAAAAATTTAATGGCAAGTTTACCTTTTGTCTGTCAGAAATGAACACCCAATTCATGTCGGCTGGTGATCCAATATGAGTAGTCAGAAGTTCTAGAAACCAATGCCAGCTTTCCTTACATTCAGATTCCACGTAAGCCATTGCTATAGGATACATCTGATTATTTCCATCCCTCCCAACAGCATGCATTAGATGTCCCCCAAGTCTTCCTTTGAGATGGCAAGCATCTAAACCTATAACTGGTCTGCAGCCACTTATAAACCATCCTTTTGTGCCCCAAACATAACAAACATTCTCTGAAATATGGGATTGACAGATGCTGGAACAACTTCTGTCATAACATAGGCTGCAGAACCAGGATTATTCAGCATAATAGTTGCACAATAATCTCTTAATCTGGCATATTGTTTCTTATGATCCCCAAACATTTCAGAATGTGCATGTTTCTTGGCCCTGTACACCTTCCATCTAGAAACTCTTAATTTAAACTTTCTTTTAATTGTCTTTCGAAATCCCTTAAGTTTCCAGTCAGGATCATCAGCCAATTCCTTTTTGAAGTGTTCAGCCAACCATCTTGAATTTGCACTAACATTCTTATAAGACCAAGGACATCTATGAGGGGTGCCTTTCAAGCTTTTCACCTGCATTGCTTTAGTTTTTCTATAATAACTCGCATATATTCTCCAACCACATTCTTTATTGCATATTGCAATGATTTTGTTACTATCATTCTTTTGGAACTTCAACTCAAAACCTTTAAGGATGGAATACATTCGAATTGCCTTTCTAAACACATGTGTGGTTAGGAAAATGAGGCCTACCACAATTTTAGGATCAACCATGTCTCTTTCCTCATTAAATTCAGGTAATTGTTCTCTATTTTCATCATCATCAGACTGAATGGCAGTTTCAAGTACTTCAGCATCAACAATATTTTCATGCTCAACAAACTTACCCTCTTTTCTAGCCTCAACAAAGGCTCTATAATCACCACTAAGTAATTCAACATATTGTTGGTACTGTCCTAAGTTGAGGCCCACTAGTTACCTCAGTAGTATTATCACCAATATCACAGCTATCACTTAATGTGTCCCCATCTTAGAAATAATCAAAATCTGAGTCATATTCAGAAGATTGCTCACTTTCAGGTGTGTATGAGTCATCAGATTCTGTTTCTGATTCATTCACATCATGATCAACCTCTGGTTCAACATTATCATTCACCCCACCAACCCCTAAACCATCATTACCAGTCCCAACTCCCTGATTAGCATTTATATTGCTATTACCTACAGCTTCAACACCATCTTGCTGATTCCCATTATTATTTTCTACATCCCCATTATCATTTACCTCTCCAACATAGATATGAATGTATGGTTCATCCCTAAACATCCCAAACATATACATGACTGCTGTTTCACTATTAAGTAAGGCAAATTCATCATCCGGTATTTTAAAGCAAATTTGAGTGTTTATGGGCACGTTCAGTCCTTTTAGCAGCCCCCAGATCTCAAATCTTGACATATAATCTGGGTCAATATAATTGAAATGTTTTATATCCCCACCCACATATGTTAGTCCTGGATTTTTTACAAAATGGCCCCCATAATGGACTTCGAATGAGAACATACTTTCCAATGGTGATAACCACACTGGTACGCGACAAAAAAACAATAAATCTGAGTGAGGGACCACAAAACCACCTTTATTGAACTTAATTAACATACTGTAATTAGCAATAATAAACTTAAAAGACACTACCAACACCGACCCATGCTCAACAGACTAGAATCTTGTAAAGAAACCTATAAACAAAACAATTATTGCATGAAAATGACAGATAAGAAAATTTGGTCGCAATCAACCCGACATGGAACCAACATAACGACCACATGCAATATATATATTCCATCACAACCATACAAATACCCATTCTAAAACTAAAGCCCACTGCTTTGGGCATCCAGATCCACACAAAAAAGGGTAAAAGTCGATTAAATAAAGAAAAAATTAGGGCTTTGCATATTACCTGATTTGTTGAGATACTCTAAATATTCTACTTGTTTTTGGATTCTTCAGACTGTCTTTTGCTTTTGCCCACTTCTAGTTATCCTCTGCAGTCATTCGGCTTTGGTTCTTCCTCGATCGCAAGAAAAAGGCAAAAAATTTGGCAAACTCAAGATCAGCTTTGCCTTGTACTTTCTGCCCGACATGTTGGGTTTGGAGGAGAAGAATGGTGATTTTGTCCGTTCAGTTATTATTTGAGGATAAAGTTGTCATTTGAGTCCTAAAATAAACGGTGTGTAAATATCCGTTACTTTTCAGTGGACCTTGGGTGCGTTTTGCCTATAAACATATTTAGGGGTGTATTGTGCAACTCATATGAGAGTTCAGGTGGTTTTCTGCATTTAACCCTTAAACGGGACCATACGTAGATTTTCAAATTTATTTTACTTTAACGAAGAGTGGTAAAATATGTAGATGCCATCCAAAGCACTCCGCGGATTATATGTATGGTTAAAATCGTCTATATATGTAGCAGGGGCGGGGCACTGGGGGCCCTACAGGGGCGGATTTAAGGTGGGGGCACTGAGGGCATGGGTCCCCACTGCCTCCCCTCAAATTTGTATAATAGTTATATAATTTTGATATAATTGTAAAGCGTCCCCAGAGTTTTTTTAGAACAAATGTGAAAAATAGGTCATAAAATTTATATCATTCACTTTCCTCCCCTGGTCTCCCATTTTTTCCCCAACAGAGCCAAGTACCAATTATATCAGTCTTTTCTTTTGGTCCCCACTCCCCAATTCCCTTTCCTCCTCTGGTCCCCATTTTCCCTTCACAACCGAAGGCTCTTCTTTTTTCCCCCATTTGTACTTGTTGGTGAATTTTATTTTTTTGCTTAAAAAAAATTAGAAAAAGAGTAGATAAAAAATTTTGGTATTATTTTTGCCCCCACTAAAATTTTTTTCTGGCTCCGCCCCTGATATGTAGAGGAAGTTGCACTACTTGCTATCCATTCTTGCAAATGCCTGCCTCAGTTGTCTTAGAACTCGAGCTGAGTATAGTCATGAAGAAAATTTACTACTTTTTCACCCTCGGGCTCTTCTTGTTAAGTTATCTGATAGATAGTTTAGCCACGACGGCCACCAACATTACCACAGATCAATTAGCCCTTCTTTCTTTGAGAGCTAAAATCACTTCAGATCCTCAACAAATGCTAGCCAACAACTGGTCCGTTGCTTCTTCAGTTTGTGAATGGAGAGGAGTCACTTGCGGCTCTCGCCACCGCAGAGTGACTGCCTTGAACATCTCCAACTTGGGTTTTACCGGCACTATTCCTCCACAGTTGGGGAATCTGTCATTTCTCAAGTCCATTGACATCAGTGTGAACGATTTTCATGGAGAACTTCCCCATGAATTGATTCGATTATGCAGGCTACGAGTCCTTGATTTTGCCATTAACAAGCTTAGTGGAGATATTCCATCTTGGGTTGGTTCCTTGCAAGAACTCCAACACTTTTCTATCGAGAACAATAGCTTTACGGGCTTTGTCCCAGCTTCTCTCTCCAACATGTCAAAGCTAGATACTTTGATACTGTCATTCAATCCCTTGCAAGGAACAATTCCAATGGAGATTGGATATCTAGGCAACTTGAAGGAAATAGTTATGTACCATAATCGGCTTTCAGGTTCTTTGCCACTGGGGATGTTCAATATTTCCTCGCTGGAATATATTGGTCTTGCTGATAATAGCCTATCTGGCAGTCTTCCAGTTGGCATCTGCCCCCGTCTTCAAGGACTCAAATGGCTTGACCTTTCCCACAACAAATTCAGTGGTATGATACCGTCATCGTTATCTGAATGTTCAAAGCTTCAAGTATTGGGGATGTCTTATAACAACTTTACCGGAGTGATACCAGAAGAATTTGGCAACTTGACGGTGCTCGAGGAATTATATCTTGGCAATAACAGCTTAAAAGGTACCCTTCCTAACTTTTGCATTTGTATAGATAAACGGCTTAAAATGTGAATGTTTGCATTTACATAAACGTAATCAACAAGTGCCCCTAGGTACGCATTACAAAAGTGCATAATCTAATATAGCTTTGTTTTATGTTAACTCTTTTTTGCTTGTTAAAATCGTCTTGTGATGAGAAGAAAAGTTGGATTAGAAAATTTAGCACTGTCTTTTAATGCAAGTATGATGAGTACTCGATCCATGATTTTAGTGCTTGATGTAAGTTCTCATGTTACAAAAGCTAAAATCTGTTTTATTTTTGTTTTGGTTACAAAGATTGTTGTAAGACATACTGCACAAATTGCTTTGCGAAGTCAATATAGCTTAAATGGTAACCATCGTAAGTCCTAACTGTTGGGTTTGTGCAAAATTGAGATTTAGATATAATTAGAGCCGGTAGCATGTCTCAATTTTCAAGTTTCAATGAGCTACTCATGCCCAAAGTGACTATGAGGAGGACAGATTCAAAGAAAAAAAAAAATTGGAATGGGCCTTAGATAGGGTTAATTTCATAAATACCCAGCAATTAATAGGATTACTTGTTGTAATAATGGGTACACATTGGGACCTAGCTATAATCATTGCTTCTTTTTTTCCGGGCTCTCTTTCATTTTTTTTTTAATTTATTTTTTTCTTGCTTGATTTGTTTATAATTGACTCTAACTCATCAACCAAGGTGGCTTTCAATCTTTCCTTGAACTCTTAACATTTCTTTCTTGCTGAATTCCCCACAGTTCCAATTAGTTTACTACTTAACATTGAATGTATCAAAACCCATTACAAGGAAAAGTACTAGGCTTAATCACGTATTGCCCCCCTCTAATTGTGATCATGTAACAAATTAACCCTTTGTATTCACAAATTAAATCTACAAATGACTACTCCTTGTGTCTTTAGTAAAAAGATAATTTTAGCCTCATTATTAGACATTCTCATATGATCTTTTTTCTTTTCTCTTTCTTCTTCATCATTTTGCTATTATATACAGATTTCTTTCTACTCCTCCTCCTCCTCCTCCTCCATATCGATTGTCAAATATATTGTTAATAAGCACAGAGAAGAAAAGAAGACGAAGAAAAAAGAAAACAAAAGTAAAATAGTTATACCAAATATTTAATATTTATTTATGGTAACAATTAATGCATAACAAGTATTTGTTTAATAAAATAGAAGTTACTTAGAATAAGTGTATGCTTTTAAATTTTTTATGATAATTAATTTTTTTTGCAAGAAATTATATAGTACATTATTATCAAAATTTGTATTTCATAATAGGCATTGAGAACGAGGAAAGAGAGGCTTAAACAATAATAAGGAAAACGACACGATAAAAATATTCTAATACTAAGGGCATAATTGTCATTTCCTACCCAAATACATTAGACTATTATAATATAGGGGGACAATTTGCTTCTAATGCCTGGTTAATTACAAGGAAGGAATATATAATTGAGCCCAAACACTGTGATAACCTCCCGATCGATTTTTACATTGTTTATTTTTTGAGTAAAGTTTCAAATTTACTGCCTATAATAGCACCAAGAGACTACCGAAAATGAAAGAGATTTCCAGCATAAGCCTAAGTGCGTCCTTATTTTTGTAATTTCCGAAGCTATTTTGCCGAAATTGATGGAAAAAAAAATCAAAATCATTTTAACAATACCTGTTTTATTTTCTGATTATTTTGCCTCTACTGCCAGCGAAAAGTCTAGCAATGCAAACCATTGAAGTAAGAGTTAAACAGTCTTTTATTCAAATTACAACAAATAATATAGTGGAACAGCAGCTCAGAGTCATAGCCCTCACGGGTCAAGGGGCGCAGGCTGGCAGACACTGCCCAAGTGTTCCAAAGTTTTTGTTCTCACTATCTAATGATATTCTGAACTCCCCTGTATCGGTTCATCAGTAACAAAAAGCTGTCAAATGATTTTGAGAAATTGGTTAGATGCTGTTCTTTTGAAGAGTCGAAAATTTTCTTAGTTTTTTTTTTTTTTCTTTTCAAATTTATCCTGCCCAATAAATCTCTAAGTAGCTGAATTTGTAGACAATTTAAATTTAATGGCCAACTCAAATGTACCAGTCCAAAATTTTCAAAATCAGGGTTGAAGTGTTGAAGACAATTTTGCAGGTGTGATCCCACAGGTGGTTGGGAATTTAACCTTGCTCACAGTGCTAGATCTAACTCAAAATAAGTTGACAGGTATTGATGCATTTTCATGAACAACAACTCACTATGAGTTTCTCATTTCTGAATTTATGTATTGCGTTAACATTTGTAAACTTTATAGGTACCATACCAAAAGAGTTTGGCCACCTAAAGAATCTAAACCTACTTAATCTGGGCTCAAATAGCCTAACTGGATCCATACCAGACCAAATATTCAACATCTCAATGCTACAGGAACTAACCCTGACGCAGAATAATCTTTCTGGAGGACTTCCACCATCCATGGGTTTTGGATTAATCAACCTTGAAGAGCTTTTTCTAGATCTAAATGAGTTTGATGGAGCCATACCAGCCTCGATCTCTAATGCATCTAAATTAACTACATTAGACTTGGATACAAACAAATTCAGTGGTCTAATTCCAAGCTCTCTTGGGGATCTAAGACTACTAGAAATACTGGATCTCTCTAAAAATCATTTGACCACTGAGCCTTGGTCAAGAGAATTGAGCTTCATCAATTACTTGACAAATTGTAAGTATTTGAAACAATTAGCTTTTTATGACAATCCGATGCACGGTTTTCTTCCGATATCAGTTGGAAACCTTTCAACTTCTATGGAGAGATTCTATGCATATGATTGCGGAATCAAGGGAAGCATTCCTGATGCAATTGGGAATTTGAGCAATCTATTTGTTTTGAGCCTATTTGCAAATCACCTGAGTAGGTCCGTTCCAGTCACAGTGAAACATTTGCAAAAGCTTCAAGTTTTGAATTTCCATGGTAACCAATTGAGTGGTTCAATTCCAGATAGTCTTTGTGAGTTAAAGAGCTTGTTCGTATTATCTTTGGAGCAAAATCAGTTTCGTGGGTCAATACCATCATGCTTAAGTAATGTCAGTTCTCTGAGAGTAATTATCTTTGCTGGGAACTTATTAAACTCAAGTATACCTGCAAGCTTGTGGAACCTCACTGATCTCTTTTCCTTGAATCTGTCGAACAATTCCTTGAGTGGTTCACTTCCTCAAGAAATTGAAAATTTGACGGTATTAACACTATTGGATTTGTCAGGGAATTACCTTAATGGGAACATTCCAAGTTCCATAGGAAGTTTGCAAACTTTAGCCAAACTTTCTTTAGCACAGAATAAACTTGAGGGACCTATCCCGGACTCGGTCGGGCATATGTTAAGCTTGGAAGTTTTGGACCTATCCAATAATAGTCTATCAGGTCCAATCCCAAAGTCCTTGGAGACACTTTCATATCTCAACTACATCAATCTTTCTTTCAACCGCTTAACAGGAGAAATTCCATCCGGTGGTCCTTTCGAGAGCTTCACATACGAATCATTCATATTTAATGATGACTTGTGTGGCGCTCAAAGATTTCATGTTCCCCCGTGTAGTTCTCATCAGATTCACCAATCGAGTCGAAAGAAAGTGTTTCAAATATTAGGCATTGTATTAGGTATTGCAGCAGCAATAATTGCTCCAACTGCTGCAATTTTGCTTTTAAGATGGCGAAGAAAGGATGAGGTTTCAAGGAATACTGGCTTATTGCCCACAGTTGTTCCCAGAAGGATTTCATATTATGAACTTATGCAAGCAACCAATGGCTATGATGAAAGCAATTTACTTGGAAAAGGGAGTTTTGGATCTGTTTATAAAGGTATTTTAACAGATGGGACAATTGTCGCTGTGAAAGTCTTCACTTTGCTAGACGAAGTCACTTCTAAGAGTTTTGATGCAGAATGTCAAGCTCTACGCAACCTTCGTCATAGAAATATAATCAAAGTGATTGGCAGTTGTTCTAATCTTGACTTCAAAGCCTTAGTGCTTGATTATATACCCAACGGGAGTCTTGAAAAATGGTTGTATTCTCATAACCATTGCTTAGATCTGCCGCAAAGACTAAGCATAATGATAGATGTTGCCTCTGCATTGGAATATCTCCATTATGGTTGCACGACACCAGTGATTCACTCTGATCTGAAACCTAGCAACATATTGCTTGACAGAGATATGGTTGCTTATGTATGTGACTTTGGCATTGCAAAGTTTTTGGATGAAGGAAACAGTGTTTTGCTTACCAAGACTCTTGCAACACTTGGATACATGGCTCCAGGTTGGCCATATCTGACTTCCTTTAAATTGTTTCTATATCTAAAATTTGTAGAATTTTGTGTCAATTTCTTCAGTTTCCTCTTCTTTTTGTTTAACCATGATTGATTGCCTTTCGTATTATAGAGTATGGAGTTGAAGGGCTGGTGTCAACAAGAGTTGACGTGTATAGTTTTGGCATAATTATGATGGAAACATTTTCAAGAATGAAGCCTAGTGATGAAATGTTCAAAGATGATTTGAGCCTGAAGAGTTGGATAGAAGAATCTCTACCTGATGCAATATTTCAGGTCGCAGATCGCAACTTACTCGGGGAACAAGATAAGCATTTCAATGAGAAGTTGGAGTGCATATCAATGATATTCAATTTGGCTTTAAGTTGCTGCACTGAATACCCACAAGATCGGATTAATATGAAAGATGTCGTGACAACACTCAAGAAGATAAAACGTAAACTTGACGCTTAATCAGGTGCCTCGTGAAAGTATATTCTCATAACTTAATCCCACAAAACAAGTTTCTTCTTCTTGAATAATCTTTAGAGTATCTTGTCTGCAGGATGATGCCAAGAATTGGAACGTGATGCAAGACAATAAATGTTGTCATCCAAGTTAGAAATTAATAGGTGCTAAAGTTTTATTCCCTTCTCTGAAAATGTTGTTTTGTGAATCTATTTGCAGGTATGTAATGCTAAGTGCATTTTCTTAGTTGTTATTTGAGAGAAATCCAGAGGAAAATCACATAGGAGGTGACAGCATTTGAAATTAGAACTGAAGCACGTTATTTCTAATTCCGACCCAAAATTGTATGTGCATAGTCTTGCTTCGTGAAAGTTGAAACTCTCCATTTGATTTATGCATTTTGCAGATTAGACCATTTTCTTCCTGTTTCCTTGTACTTTAGTTTTTCTTTTGCTCTTGAGAAATTTAGAAAGCCCCATTTAATTAACATATTATATTACAAAGAGTCTTTTGTACTACAAGTTTTTGCATCAATTTAGACCACGAAAAGACTCTTTACTACTTTCTCCCTTTTGTTTCGTGGTTTTTCTTTATTCAATCATGATTTTTGAAGTCTTTATATATGCAGAATTTCTTCTATGTTGGTACTGTATGCTATTCCATTGTTGTTGATAATGGAGTGTAGCAAAGTAGTACAACCGCGCATATAAATCAGGCATTTTTTGCAATCGATTTGAAATTAAAATCACCAAAATTGGTTAGCTAAATTTGATTTAATTAGTGATAATTCGGTTCATTTAGTTAATTATTGAGCTTATGTTCGGTTAAGTTATTTTAGTATTTACAACTTTGTAACTATGTTACTTCCAACTGTTTTATCAAGATACTGTACTTTTAAATGTAACAAACAACTATCTAAATTTAAAGCAAACACACACTTACTTTTGACTTAATAGGCAATATCTCAATCTAAACATAAATCTTACTCCATTTTTTCTTTTCTTTACTCCATTCCAACTCAACAAGGTTCAATAGAGTCTCCGTATCTTCCAGTAATTAATGCAACGTACTTGAAATTTAATTGGTGCTAAAACTGCTTACATTTTTCAAATAGATTCACAAGTTTAGACAAAATTTAATATTTACCCGTTTGTGTGTAGGTAAAATGCTATACTTGTATTAAATCAGCTCTAAGGGTAAAAATTACATCACACGCCCAGATACAATGTATTTGAAGAATAGATACTATAGATCTAAAAATTGATAAGAACTATATTGTAAAGCTCCAATAATAAATGCTTCAGTCGCTAGATTTATTAATTAACTATTTCAAGTTTCATTATTAATTGTGAGACTTGTCAAGATAGAACCAAGAAATCCAGATCTGACAACCAAAATTTGAAAACTTAGATCTAATAACAAAATAAATTAACTTATGAAAAAATTCATGCTAGAAATCCATAAGAGAGAAGAAAACTCTCACTAAAGTATGAAAATGCAAAAAAAAAAAAAAAAAAAAAGAAGAAGAAGAAGAAGAAGAGGGAAGGAGACCCTCCCTTGTAGGAGATCTTCTGAAGGAGGAAAAGTTAAAAGGAATGAGGAGAGTTTTGGTTGACAGAAAAGTGACGTATTGGGGGTAGCATTGGGCTTCAAATCCTCTGTCCTCAAAGTAGTCTCTATCCCCTCTGTCCCTTATTTATACAGCTGTCACGTGTCTTTAATCTTTTGTTAATCCAAATTCAAATAAATTTTAGATTAAATAACTATTTCTTGCAAACAAGTGAATTTTGGAATATCTAAAATTTAATTATAAATAAGAAAATATTACCTGTGACAATTGCGTTGAGCACAACATACGTTGGCTATTTGGTTCCCATATGTTTAAACCATCTTTACTACCAATAGGACCTTCATGCACATGCTTAAAAATAAAAAATATAAATGAATAATTATATCATCAAGACTCAAAAAAATTATATCAGCATAATATCTAATTAAAAAGCTTGCTTTTTATGCAAACAAACCCATTGTTTATTTGAGTTTAGGTTAACAAAAGATTAATGACACGTGGCAAATGTATAAATAAGGGACAGAGGGGACAGAGATTATTTTGGGGACAGTGGATTTGAAGCCGTAGCATTGTTCCAACATCTTCCGATATAATTGCCACGTTGTATGCTGCCAACTTTGTATACCATGTTAGATACCACTTACATTCACCATTCAATGTCTAACATGAAACTAACATAGGTATAGTGGAGGGATTCCCTCCCTTAAACAGGCCTTTTTTCAATTATTTTCTTGGCTTCTCTATTCTGTTACCCTCCATCCACTTTGATTTTGATGACTGAAAACAAGGTCATAATCATTCATGATAAGCATTTTGTTACAATTTTTGAGAAAAATAATAAGAGAAGAAAATGATAAGAGTTTATTATTTTGTAAAACTTACACAACTTATAACATGATTTTACTCTATTTATAGAGTTCAAAACAACTCTACTAATTATCCCACTAACTCCACTAACTATCCCACTAATTCTACTAACTTCACTAATTTCACTAGTTACTCCACTAACTCCACTAATTCCACTAACTAGGTGGAACAAAATAAACAAACATGGTCAACTAAAAAATAATTGAATATATTTCTAATAATCCCTCCCTTAAACTGAAAGTTTTCCAAACATTCAATTTAATAGGATTTATCAACTGCACAGACTCCAAGTAGCTTCCTTAATTTGTGAAACGTGGATAACTTCAGTGGTTTGGTCATTTTGTCAGCAATTTGATCTTTACTTTTACAGTAGAGAAAATTAATTATTCCATCCCTTATAAACTCCCTTAGAAGTAAAATTTCACATGTATTTGGTTCTTCTATGGAGAACTTGATTTTTTGAGAGTTTGATAGCAGAACTATTGTCACGGTAAATTGCAGTAGCTCATTCTTACTGAAAATGCAACTCTTTAAAAATATTCCTATTGTCACGGTAAATTGTAGTAGCTCATTCTTACTGAAAATACAACTATTTAAAAATATATCTTAGCCACATTGCTTGACAGGCACATGTCATTGCAGTTACATACTTTGTTTCAGTTGTTGATAAAGTAATAATTGGTTGCTTCTTTGAATACCATGAAATAGCTGCTGAACTCATCATGAATATATAGCCAAACATACTCTTTCTATCATCAAGATTGCCTGCATAGTCACTATCAGTAAAACCAAATAAATATGATTTTTTACTATTCTTGTAGAACAACTCATATTTAATGGTTCCCTGCAAGTATCGAAGAATTCTCTTGGCAGTTAGAAGATGTGTCTCCCTTGGATTTTTCATGTATCTACTAATAAAACTTACAGTATGCATGATATCAGGTCTTGTGTCTATCAAATACATGAGACTTCTCACAATTTGCTTGTAAAGGGTGCTATCAACCCTTTTTCCTTCAAATTCTTTGATGAGTTTTAAATCCACTTCAATTGATGTATTAACAGAATTACAATTCTTCATTTGAAACCCGTTCAAAATTTCTTGTACATATTTCCTTTGAAAGATAAAAATTCCAGCAGCAGATTGCACCACTTCAATGCCCAAAAAATAATGTATCTTTTTAAGATTAGACATATCAAATTCAGCCATCATAGATTTTTTTAAATTTCTCAAACATGGCACTATCATTTTCAGTAAAAATAAGACCGTCAACCTATAAACAAACAATGAGTAATTTACCTCCATCTCCAATTTTTATAAAAAAGTGTATGTTCATATGGACATTTTTTAAATCCCTCTTTAGAAAAATATACGATTATACCAAACACGTGAGACTTGTTTTAATCTATATAATACCTTTTTGAGTTTGTATATCTTATGTTCACTTCCAACCTTCACATAACCAGGAGGTTGATCAATAAATACCTGTTCCTGTAAATCACCATGTAAAAATGCTAATTTCACATCCAACTGGAAGACAGGCCATTAATGTTGTGCTGCCAATGCATTCACTATCCTGATCGTGTCATGCCTTACGACTGGAACAAAAATTTCTTCATAATCCACACCAAATTCTTGCTTATAGTCTTTAGCTACTAAACGTGCTTTGTACTTGTCAACTTCTCCATTCTCCTTCAATTTCATCTTCTACACCCACTTGACACCAATTGATTTTTATCTTTCTAGAAGATCAGTTAACTCCCATGTGTTGTTCGTTCAATAGTTGCAACTTTTTCATCCATTGTCTTCTGCCACTTTGAATCTTTGATAGTCTCTTCAAAAACTATAGGATCACAATTAAAAAATAGAGCAAAAAATGTAAGTGGATCCTTAGATTGGTCAATTTCAATTATCTCATAATCGATTGTCCATGTAGATCTTTTTCTAATACGTTGAAGTCGTCCTTCATTTTCTGCTACTGTTTGGGAACTTGGAACATCATTTAAACCATCTGATGGAATTTGTTCTGTCAGCTGTTGCCTGTTTTCTTCATCAATTTCATCAAAATCAGCAGGTATTTCTTGTTTAATACATTGCTACTTCATGGCCAAAAATTTTTCTCATCAAAAATTACATCCCGACTGATGACAATTTTCTTAGTGATGAAATTGTAAAGCTTGTAATCCTTTGATTGATCACTAACACAAAAAAAAAATACATTTTTCTGCCTTATTATCTAAATTTGTCCTCTTTTGGTTTGAAATATGAGTATAGGCATTACATCCAAAAATTTTGATATGATCCACTGTTGGTTTCTGTCTGCTCCACGTTTCCTCAGGTGTCATATTTTTAACATTAAGTATGGGACTTCTGTTCAATATATGAATGCTCCAATTGACAGCTTTAGGCCAAAAAAATTTTGAAACACCACTTCTTGTCAAAAAAGTTCTTATCATGTTCAAGATTGAACGATTCTTCCTCTTCGAAATATCATTCTGTGGTAACGTATAGGCTGCTGTAAGTTGCTTCTAGATTCTATACTCCTCACAAAATTTTATAAATTTTTGTGACTTATATTCTCCACCATGATCACTGCGAAAAATCTTTATAGACTTGTCTGTTTCCTTTTCGACAAGAGTCATGAAATTTTTGAAACTTGAAAATGTTTCAGATTTTTTCTGCAAAAAATAGATCCCAGTTTTTCTACTATAATCATCAATAAACATCATAAAATAATGTTTTCCACCATTAGATGGTTGATTTATGGGTCTACATAAATCAGAGTGAACCAACTCCAATGCGTTTTTTGCTCTCCATGATTTTCTTTTGAAAAGTTATCTTGATGTTGTTTACTAACGACACACTCTTTACAAAATTCTGAAAAAATTGTAATCTAAGGTAGACCAGCCACCATATTTTTCTGCTACAAAGTCTTTAATCCACTAAAGTTTAGGTGTCCATAACAAAAATGTCATAACCA